ATATGTTGTTATTTTAGTAAGTCTAATCACACTGTACATTATAAATACCGTCAAACTGAGACTTATTTATATCAATATTATTACATTAAATTAAAACATAAGCAAAAAAGCAAATATGTACCTATTTGCGGGATGGAAAAAGAATATTATTTAACCTTTGCATGTATTATATTTTTGAAGTATTAATTTTAAGCTTGAATATGGTTCAATCTTGCGCAAAAAAGAAAATTGGTAATGGCGTCGAAAATAGTGATAAAATAATTTGTTTGCATCGAGTTTTATAATTTGCATATAATAACCATGTGTTGGGTACGAGGAAAGACGTGGGCTGGAACACATACATATAAGAGGCCAACTCCTCCGAGTCTAATGTCAACGGAAATAGGAAACCACAAGGGGTTTGCACTTTGAAAACACGTGGTATTGTTCCGTGGTTATAACTCTTGTGTGTGTCACAGATACTTGCCGATGGCTGTCTAAGATCAAACATAAAACAAACAACACACAAGATTTATTAACCCAGTTAGTGTAACTACCTACATCTGGGGGATTCCAATGCATGAGACGTCTACTAAACCTATCACCATGTATACAAGGGACTTAATGACTCAACAAACACAGACCAAAGCTATCCTCTCCTACAGTCTTCTTTACATTGCAATGTACAAGAAACTAGGGATTAAACCGCAGTTCTAATCCTAGCAGACTACTAGTCTAACTGAGAGTAAGCGGGTACAAGTTGATCTTGTTCTCCTATTGGAAATCAATTTTCTCCTTCTTCAGATGAGCTTCAAATCTCCATGAGAGCTCAGATTCTTTTTTAAATCAAAGAGTAGTGAAAACGAAAAGATGGAGAGAAAATACACTATTTCTCTCACTAGATTTTTCACTCTATTTTCCACTCTCCTCACAAGACTGTTTCACAGTCTATTTATACAAACAAACACACTGTCTTAATGCAGTGTTTGACTAACCAACGTTGGGGTATTAAATACGCCACCATAAACCTGCAACATTGTTTTGTCTTGTTCTAAACATTCTCCTATGTTTGACACTGACAAAACTTGTGCAAAAAGGGAACAAACAGAAAATACAAAAAGTCTTCATCAACAATCTACTGCATTCCATAATTGGGTCGTCTTCGAGCTTCGATACCCTGAAAAGTTAGTAACATATGCCAAAAAACGACAAGGTACTTTTGTAACAATCTCTCCCTTTTTGGTATATGGTACAAGTCTAAACACAAGCATGAAAAATATTATACTCACGCACTATTCAGTCCATCAATCCAGTTATTACAGACCAACATAATAACAAGGCTACAAGCAGCCTTCAAAATGTAATCAGTTTGCGGTTAAAACCGCACAGCAATCCATCACAGTACTTGGCATAATAAAAGATAGTAAATATAGAAAAATCATAACAATATAAATGAAATACCTCCCCCTCTTTTCCAACACCTCTTTCTGGCTGTTGTTTGTCCTCTCCCCCTGACTTACATCATTTTCCAAAAAGGCAGCTATGGGGTCTCAAAAGCTCTTGGAATATATTGTTGAAGACCACATTTGCATCTTTGAGTTTCTTGAGCAAGATTATATCTCACTAAATTCTGATTTATTTTGGGTCTCCATTCCATCTCGAATTTGATACGATGTTTGAGCTCTTCTGAGGGCCAACGAATCTTCTTTCTAGCCATAAGATCCTTACTTAGTTTAAAATATTTTTCTGCTACGTGACCACGAAATCCGCAATACTTTTAGTCATGCAGGTGTTTTGACTCTTGTTTGATCTTCACTGCTTTCTAATTATTTTGTGGTTGTTTCATCTTTCTGGATGTTTCAACTTTCTCAGTCAATTTTGGCTTCTAAATCTCTTCTGGAACCTTCAAATCAGTAAGTAGTCCTCCTCTTACAAATGTAGTAGACTTAATCTCCATTGAATCAAAATATCCCAAGCCTTTGTGATCTCCAAACGGTTTTCCAATTGAGAGAACTTCATCTAGCTTCTCCTTGCCTTTTTTAAATCGATCGTTTTCAATGATCAATCGAGCATTCTCTGCTTTCAATCGCTTGACTTCAACTGCTAAATCTTGAGTTTCTTCTAGCATTTCCTCATTTTCAAATGTCATGCTTACATGTCGAACTTCCAATTTTTTGATCATGTCCATCATCTTTTTGTTCTTCCGGATTGACTGTTTCAGATCAACAACAACAGCTTCATAAGCTTCAATAAGCTCGTCGATATCCATTTCAGTTGTTTCTTCAAGGTTACCATCAATCCCTTTGACATTTGACTTGTTGGATTCACCATTCTTCACAACAAATGCTACAACATCATCATCATCATTCTCATTCTGATCATCTCCATCAACACCATCATCATCACTCTAAGTTACTTGGTGAGCTCGTTTTTCACGTTTCTTCACTGATGGGCATTCAGGTTTCATGTGACCAACACCACCACAACACACCACCACAACCATAGCAAGTTGGTTCCTATGTAACACTGGGTCTAGATGTAACATTGAATCTCTTTCTATGACCTCTTTCAAACGAACTTCTCGGTTTGTTGAAGGTTGAAGGTTTCTGCTCAGAATAATTTCTGTGTTGTCCCGCTGTTTTAACTCCAGACTGATTTCTGTTTATTGACTTGCCGAACTGTTTTGCTGCTCGTTTTTCTCTGATCATCCTCGATAACTTCTTAGATAGAAGGGCCATATCTTCATCAGATTCTATCAACTTTTGGTCTTCAGCAGATAGAGCAATGCTTTTGTTAGTGTCTTCTTCAAGATGATTCATTTCATACGTCAAGAAAATTCCATTCAAGCTTTCCAAAGTCATCGTCTTCACTTTATCCAACTCTTCAAGGGCTGCAAACTTCGGATTGAACTTCTTCGTAACAGATCGAAGCATTTTCCTCACCAGCTTTTGTTCATCATACTCTAGTCCAAGAGAGTATGCTTGATTCACTACACCTTTGAATCGACTGTAGAAATTTCCTACGAATTCATCTTCATTCATCTTCAAGGACTCAAACATACTTTCAACTCTTTGAAGTTTGGTTGCTCGAACATTTTCAGTTCATTCAAAAGCATTTTTCAATGCATCCCATGCATCTTCACCAAGCATCATTAGAAAAGCGACCATTCGCGTTTTCCAATAGCGGTAATCATTTCTATCAAACAATGGTGGACAGCTTGTGGAACCTTCTTCTCTATTCATTTTCAACCACAAACAGATCTACTCAGGGTATTGAGCATGCTGCTCTGATATCAGATGTTGGGTACGAGGAAAGACGTGGGCTGAAACACGTACACGTAAGAGGCCAACTCCCCCGAGTCTAATGGCAGCGGAAATAGGAAACCACAAGGGGTTTGCACTTCCGAAACACGTATTATTCCGTGGTTATAACTCTTATGTGTGTCACAGATACTTGCCTATGGCTGGCTAAGATAAAAAATAAAACAAACAATATACAAGATTTATTAACCCAGTTTGGTGTAACTACCTACATTTGGGGGATTCCAATCCAGGAGATGTCCACTAAACCTATCACCGTGTATACAAGGGACTTAATGACTCAACAAACACGGACCCAAAGCTATCCTCTCCTACCGTCTTCTTTACATCGCAATATACAAGAAACTAGGGATTAAACCGCAGTTCTAATCCTAACATACTACCAGCCTAATCGAGAGTAAGCGGGTACAAGTTGATCTTGTTCTCCTGTTGGAAAATATACGTTTTCTCTCACTAGATTTTTTACTATGTTTTCAACTCTCCTCACAAGACTGTTTCACAGTCTGTTTATACAAACAAACACACTATCTCAATGCAGTGTTTGCTAACCAACATTGAGGTATTAAATGCGTTACGATAAACCTGCAACATTGTTTTGTCTTGTCCTGAACATTCTCCTATGTTGACAGTTCATATACAAACAAAACCTGTGCAAAAGGGGCATAAACAGACAATACAAAAAGTTTTCATCAACAGTCTGCTGCATTCCATATTTGGGTCATCCTCGAGTTTCGATACCTTGAAAAGTTAGTAACATATGTCAAAACAAGAAAGAGTACTTTTGTAACACCATATATCTTATGCAACTATTTTCACATACTATATTTACACCTTACATATATGTTATTTGTTTGTTTTACATACAATATTTACATAATGCGTGCTACATATTTCAAATTTAAGAACTTGAAAATATTTTTAGTTAAGATTAAAAATAGTATTTGGTATGGCATGAGGAATTAATTACAAAAAAATAATAATAATTTATGCATATACTAATTACGTATGGAAATGTTTTTAACCAATTTATAGTTAAAACAAATATCGAATATATTGTTGGTTAAATTGCACAAAATCTACCTGTAGTTTCATGAAATTGCGTAAAATTCATATACTTCTAAAACTGTGTCATACTCTCCCGTGGTTTCATAAACTCTGCGTCTAACCCCCTCGGCGGTTCTTATTTAACGGCATTTGACCTAAATGCGCCCAAAGTACGTATAAATTTTAGAATCTCAATTTCTAAACCCGTATTTATTTTTCTTATATTAAATATACTTAAAAATAATTCTTTCTAAAGTTTTAAGAATTTATTTTTACTGTTTTTTTAAGGCTAAATATAAAAAAATATATATTTGTAATTTAGAAATTAAGATTCTAAAATTTATTCGCAGTTTGGGTACATTTAGATCAAATATCCTTAAATAAAGACCGCCGAGGGGTTAGACGCAAAGTTTATGAAACCATGAAAAAGTTTAACGCAATTTTAAAAGCATTAGGGATTTTGCGCAATTTTGTGAAATCACATGTAAATTTTGTACAATTTAACCTATATTGTTACTTTTATGAAAATTAATAGATTAAATATTTAAAATCAGAAAGAAAAAAAACCCCTTCGAAAACACAGGGAACAAACAACACCCGATAAACACTAGCATGCACACTGGATCCCACAATCCAAGTGAAAACATGGAAGGAATTTAAAAAATGTTCATCATATGTTGTAATTATTTAAAATTCACACACTATCAAATGTGTCTACAAATGATGCAGCTTAAAATGCAATACGCAAATTTAACCAATCCCTTAGGCATATAAACCTCATCAAAGAAATGAAAGGAGCATGAACTATATGATTCCAGCAAATTACAAGAACACTAACCTCTATTCCTATATTGCTTGAGGAAATCTAATCAGATGAGGCTACACTAAGTGACACACGAAGGTCATTAGAGGTTCCACAAACATACATTCTACAAGTTTCAATTTCTTGCTCGTAAACTGTGGGAGAACCTGATGATACATAATAGCTTCCACTCACTTCGTCCAGCTTGGAAAATATTAACTCCCGAGACGCGGGTTCGTGTCCATTGAGGAGATTTCCCATTCTCAAATCTTTTCTCCATGACTCAGCGGTAGTAGCGGGGGTAAACATATCAGCAACAGTGCTTCGGTCTTGAGGCTGTACTTCAAACTTTCTGTCAAATTCCTAGAATGGGAGGAAAAAAAATATAAAAACACTGGAGATGTTAAACTAGAAGTTTTTGATGATTTTTTCTTTTTTCTTTTTAAATCCATACAACACAAGCTGCTTATTAAAAATTGCAAACAAACACATTATTTTGTATTCTGAATTCTATTTACCAAAAATAGTTTCAAATGTTATATCAGGGATGACTATAACACATTTACTACTCAAATTAAAATAGGTACAGTTGAGAGTTCACCTTTTCAGCATCACTCTGTGCCCAATCATTTTTCATTTTCAGGAAATTGTAGTCATAGTAATTATCAAAAATTGCTTCAGCAAGGTGGGATGCTTCTAAGAACTTTCGATGAAGTGATGCAGCTAATATCAGCAATTTTTCAGTGTGTTCAAAAGTAGAACAAATCTGATGGAGGTTTCCAATGACATCAGGATCTTGAGTAGCATTATATGCTGCAATAGAATAAGAATGAGATATTCTTGTGGCACTTCCTGAAATCAATAAACTGCAAAATCAAGAGGTACAGAAAATACATTACATTGCATGAATCTTAGAACAGAGGCAATGTTGATGTACAATTGCTCCATTTTTTCTGTCATCTGTTTAAAGCCACCAAAGGAAGTCTGATTAAGAGTGTCCACTGCTGCGCTGAAAGCCGTACAAACCATTTGTTCCAGCAGTTGATGTGGTCTTAGTGTCTCCAAATAATGAAGTGCCTGATTCAAGATTGTGTAAATGATCATATTATTAAGAACTGACAAAAACAGAAACAATAGAAGAGATAATTACCAAATGTAACAAACTGCAATCTTTTCTAATACATCTGGTCCAATGAACATGCATGAGGTAATATAAAGAAAAGTACTTAATAATCTATTTTTTAGTATAGTGGTTGCTCCAATTGTTGCTTGTATACGGTCACCGCTTGACCATCTTATGCCTCTCTAGGTATGTCCGGTGTAGATGTAAATACACATTTATATGGTATTAATATTATCTTTCCGATAAAAAAAAAAAAAAAAAAGTACTCAATATTTTGCAACACAAAATTTAATTAGAATTCTTCATATACCCACAGCAAAATTTAGTTATTTGATTGGGCAAAACATATCAATTAGATATCCAATTTTGCTCGAAAAGTGCATTGCAAGGCTATTAAAAAATAGCAACATTATTATGTTTATTTTAGCACTTTCCTTTATTTTAATAAAGTAAAATGCGAAATCAGCTTGATGAAGTTAAACTCAAATCAGTTCAGAAAATACTGTTCCTAGCAGATAGCCAACCAAAATAGCTGAAGATGAAATATTAGATTGCCGAAGATTGAACTGCAAACACCACACCCAATGGAAACATCAAATCATGGAATACACAATTTTTTGGAAATGGAACAGCAAACCACAGAAGTGATAACTAGATATTGGAGCTGTAACTAACAGAAATATAAATTTTCTCACATTAGTAGAACCTGATTCCTTAACTCCAATGTTTATTTTTAGAAGTCCAGTGCTCAAACTATTGTGAGACTTTTCTTTTACAACATTATAAAAGTTGATAAATGGTGTAACTGACAAAAGACATAAAAGCAATTCTGCAAGAAGCTATTTTGTATACCTTTTCTCCTTCTCTTATTGGGTCAAATAGTGGCTTTTGTTTAGAAGCAGGCAGAGGGAAAGCCTCATTCCAGATCTTTCTCCATGAGTTCCCATGATCAGACATCCTTTCTGAAAGTCTTCCACAGGGTGGCCATTCAACTTCTGATGTATTCTTTATTAAATTAGTATGAGAGCTTTCACTCAAATCACTATTCTCATTTTCCCAATCTTTTGGTGAATACCAACGGATAAAATCTTCAAAAACAGCTTCTGGATTAGCTGCCTTGAATGCAGACATGTCTGTATAGAGGTTGACATAAAAACACTACCCATTAAAAAAGGTATTTCATTGATTTGAAAGGACCTGCTCTGCTAAAGTATTCAGAGAACAATTATATGGGAAAAGAATAACCACATACAACAGTATTATGTTATTTTTGAACTGTGAAGCAATAATTCATCCACAATAAAATAGTATCTCATGCATTTAGTATATTTTTATTAAAAAAAAAAAAAAAAAAAAAAAAAAGAAGAAGAACCAAATAGATGGATGGGGCTAAATAAACACTTCTCCAAAAATATTAAGTTGATAAAAAAAAAAAATTCTCATTTTATATCTAGTTATAAACTAATTTTTATAACACTCCCCTTTCATGTGAATGCAGAATTCTTCTCGTAAACCCCTACAAGTGGAACATTCTTTATAACATACGGTTATTCAAACATCCTCTATAATACCATGTTAAATAACCACGTCATTATAACATTTCAAATCTGCATATATATCCATACTACCTATATTATAATTCAGTTTATGAAAGCCACAGCCTAAATCATAGACAACATATCAGAGTTCTCATGCTTTTGACATCTTGTTTGAAGAGCTTAATGAAAGAATATTTATGGTTTTACACATTATATTATCTCCAACTTTTATCTAGAATAAATATGCAATTTTAGTTAGAAAATGATTTTCCTTTTAGGTTTACATTTATATTCTTAAGTAAGCATTGATAGGGTTTTTTTTTTAGTGCCATGAAACAATCATTTTTTTTCTCACATGCAATATAAAATGGTAATAACTTAGGTTTTCACCAACATTCTAGTTGATCTTGATCCAAGTATTGAAGATGCTGAATTTGATTAGCATGGTTTGATCCGTAAACAAACAAACCCTTAAAGTAGATGTTAAATATATTGTATATATGTCAATTTTGAATTTAGAATAGTGTAAGGACGTTTTTGTTATTTTAGATAGTTGTTTATATTTTTAGGGTTTATTCTTATAATCCCATTTTCTCAATTGAATGAAATCGAAACGAGCTCTCTCTTTGAGGCATTTTATGCTAAGATTCAAATTAAGTTTGGTGTGTCTATTAAAATACTTCGGACACATAATGCCACCAAACACCAAATAATTTTCTAGTCCTATGACTAAGTTTCTATCGTCTCGGAGTATTTACACCAATCCTCTTGTGCTTACACTCCACATCAAAATGGACTTGCTATCTCAAGAATTTCCATCTCACTAAAAGTTGCTCGTACACTGCTTTGAGCTGATGTTGTTCTTACGTCTTGCTATCTTATAAATTGTATGCCATATTCCATTCTATAAAATAAAATTCCTTGTCCGATAACATTTCCTCAGAATCAGTTATATCATTTACACATCCATGTCTTTGGGTACACTGCATTTGTTTATGATCACTCTTGGGTCATAATAACTTAGCTCATCGTGCATTAAATGTGTTTTTCTTGGTTATTCTAGGATTCAAAATGGTTATAAATGTTATTCACCTGATACTCGTTGGCATTACTTTTCTGCAGATGTTACCTTCTTCGAGTCAACCCCTTATTACTCCCCTTCGTCTACGCTACCATGAGTTAGCCATGTGTTGTCTATTCCTTTCTCATCTCCCCTTCTTTCGCATTCATCTCTTTAGGTTTATAGTCGTTGTCCTCGACTTATAATATCTCCTTCCGATGCTCCTCCTAATCATGCTTCTGCAGCTCCGTCACCCTGTCCTAACTTTTGAAATTTGCCATCTCCTTCTTCTCCTGTTGGTTCCACACTCCAGATCCTGCTCCATTACGCCGAGGCACCCGTTTTTCTTGCAATCCACATCCCCTTTATAATTTTCTTAGCTTTCATCATTTATCTCCCGCTTACTATCCTTTGTGTCAAATTTATCCTTTGTGTCAATAACTAAATCCGTTCGTGAGGCTCTTACCTGCTAATGGTACGTAGTACTTAGTACCTTTGCCTTGGGGCAAGCCTGTGGCTTACGGTTGGGTTTATGCAGTTAAAGTTGGCCTAAATAATCAGGTAGCTCGTCTCAAGGCCCTTCTAATGGCTAAAGGCTTCACGCAGGTCTTTGGTGAAGATAACACTGAAACATTCTCTCTTGCCGCCAAAATGTCCTCAGTTCGTCTCTTCCTTGCTTGGGCTGCTATGCACTCTTGGTCTTTTCATCAACCAGTTATTAAAATTGTCTTTCTTCATGGAGACCTTATAAAAGGAAATTTATATAGGGCAACCTTTCGATTTGTTGTTCGGAGGAGTCAGGTCTTGTTTGCAAACTACATAGCTCTTTATATGGATTGAAGCAATCTCCATGTGCTTGGTTTGGTTGTTTTGGTATTGTTATTGAAGAATATCGCACTTTTCATTGACGTAAAACTGGATATTACAAAGTACAACACAAAACCCTATATAATACAACTACCAAAGTACCTATAATGCCCTTATACTATTATAAATACAAAAATACCCCTAGACATAATATATTTAACAGTTATACAGGACTTTGACATGATTCAGAGTGCATTAGACTATTCTTTTTTTTTATAAGCACACAACAAGTGGTAAGTGTTTATATTTCTTATGTATGTTGATGATATTGTTCTTACTGGAAATGATCAAAAAGGAGTCGGCCAGCTGAAACAGTACCTATTTCAACATTTTCAAACTAAAAATATGGGGTCATTGAAGTATTTTTTTGGTATTGAAATGACTCAATCATGTGATGATATTGCTCTTTCACAACAGAGGTATGCATTGGATATTCTTGAAAAAACTGATTTGCCGGATTGTAAGCCAATAGACTCTCATGTGGATCCAAATTTGAAGTTTCTTTCAAGACAGGGGAGCCACTAGTTGATACAGGAAGATATCGCGGAATGGTTGGTAAGCTTAACTATCTTACATTTATTCGGCCTGATATCTTATTTGTTATGAGTCAATTCCTTCCATCCCTATGTGATGCTCATTGGGGATGCAGCAATTCGATTTTTAAGGTGCATTAAAGGGTCTCCTCGTCAAGGATTATTGTATACTAATTAATGTCATACAAAAGTAATTGGCTACTCGGATGCTGATTGCGCAAGATCCTCGATTGATTGACGTTCTACTTCAGGGTATTGCATATTGTAAGAGGTAATCTTATCTCATGGAAAAGAAAGAAACAAAATGTTATTGCTCAATCAAGTGCAGAAGCAGAATGTACATGTGAACTTATTTGGGTAAAACAACTTCTTCATGAACTCGAAAGTGCATATAATCCAGTATTTCATGAGAGGTCTAAACATATAGAGATTGATTGTTATTTTATTCGGGAGAAGGAACAATCTGGATCTATTGCCACCCACTATGTTGCTTCGAATGACTAACTTGCAGATATTCTTACTAAATCTCTTAACCTTTTACGTGAAAAACTTGGATCATACAAGTGTTAGATATATTTTATAAAGGTCAATTTTGTATTTAAAATAGTGTAGGAAACTTTTTCTTATTTAAGATAGTTGTTTATATTTTTAGGGTTTATTCTTGTAATCTCATTTTCTCAACGGAATGAAATCAAATCAAGCTCTCTCTTTCTAAAATATGCAAAATGCTCAAATGAATCATGAACATGGTGATTCTATTCCACAGTAACATGGTGATTCTATTCCACGAGAACAAGATCTGCTCCAAATTTCTACGAAGTGTTGTTGGAGAGATCATTGCTTATCAAAATTCAGTAAATTGTGTGTTTTAAATGAATATTTCATATACAAGTATTCAACATGTTGCATTACTACCTTCAACATATATAAATGTATTCTGAACATAAATAATTTATTAAACAACAATCTATTGTCATTCTAGAAACAACATATCTGATAAATATAGACAACATATTCAATAACATAAACAATATATGAACAATAATTTAAATAAAACTTCTATGATTGAGCAACAATGTAGCTAAATCATTTGATCATATGCTTACTAGTCTACTACACAAACATCATCTAACTATCCACCTTCAACATATATAGCTGAATAAAACATTATACGAGTATGGTAACAACTGACAATACTAAGCATATTATATGTCTAGCAATATCTCATATGTGAGTATTCAATAAATTTTATGAATATAGTCAACAAATCAAAATACATATGAACAAAAATTATCCGTACGTGTAAGTCAGCATTTCATATATATGTATTCAGCATATTGCATGATTACAATAAACATATTGAACTAAAGAACCCAGCATATAAAGATCAACAAGGTGCTGATAATGACATCATATACATAGTTCCATGCTCTTATTCCATATTTCCAAAACCTCCAACAACGGTTTCTATAATAAAGTTTATATAATTTATATAATATATAAATATAACAAATCTTCAAAATTATTTTTGTTAAGACGAGGATCCGGGGTTCCAACTTAAAACCAATTTATTGTAAGTGGAGCCCTTCACCCCTTACAAGGTGGGGGAGTCCCAAAATCATATCCAATGTGGATACTAACACTCCCCCCTCGAGATGATAATCTTGAAAATTCAAATAGGATTAATACCCATTACAGGCACCATTGCTCTGATATCATGTTAAGATCCGGGGTTAAACTTAAAACCAATTGGTTTTAAGTTGGAAACCCGGATCCCTTCTTAACAATTTTATTAATAAATATAGGTTGTCTTTTGTTGTTTTGTGTGTTTGCGTATTGGGTTTTGATGTTCATGAGGTAAAATAATTGTTAGATGTGATGTTTTGTATAAAAATTTAGAGTTTGATCTAATGTATTAGGAGGAAAATTATGAGATTGCATCGTAAAGAAAAAAAATAGAAAAACACTCGAAGAGAACAAATCCATACTATTTAAAGTTTAAACATATTAATTGAAATGTTACAAATAATATATAAAGAATATTTAATTATATTAAGGCATAAATAGATTGAAACTTTCATATGTTTAAACTTTGTGCATTATTAATGAAGAATATCGCTGTATTTTTTTATTTTTTATTATTTACATCAAAAGGAAGAATAGTTTTACAATATACAAAACCATAATATATTAAAATTATACAAAATACCTAAACTGCCCTTATACTATTATAAATACAAAAATAACCCTATATATAATATATCTAACACTCCCCTTCAAACTAGAGAATACAAATCGTATGATCCAAGTTTGTCACATAAAAATTTAATTCAAGGGCCTCTAAGAGATTTGGTAAGAATGTCTGCAAGTTGCTCATTCGAAGCAACATGGTAAATGGTGATGCATCCATATAATACCTTCTCCCAAATAAAATAACAATCAATCTCTGTATATTTAGTCCTCTCATGAAACACCGAATTAGACGTAATATGCAAGGCAGCTTGATTGTCACAAAAAGTTTCATTTCTGAAACTTCCACTATCTTGAGCTCGTGAAGAAACTGTTTTACCCAAATATGTTCACATGTCGCTAATGCCATGGCTCGATATTCTGCCTCTGAACTTGAGTGAACAACATTGTTTTTTACTTTTCCATGAGATAAGGTTACCTCTCACAAATATGCAATATCCCGAAGTAGAGCGTCTATCAACTGGGGATCCTGTCCAATTAGCATTTGAGTAGCCGATTACTTCAGTGTGACATTGATTGGTGTACAATAATCCTCTACCAGGAGACCCTTTGATGTACTTCAAGATTCGAATGGCAGGATCTAAGTGACTATCGCATAGAGACTGAAGAAATTGACTCACAACACTTACAACAAAAAAGATATCAGGTCGAGTAAGTGTGAGATAGTTAAGCTTACCAACCATTCTACGATATCTTTCTGCGTCAGCTAATGGCTCCCCCTGTCCCGGAAGAAGCTTCAAATTTGGATCCATGGGAGAGTCTACTGGCTTGCAGTCAGACAAACCAATTTCTTCAAGAATATCCAATGCGTACTTACGTTGTGAAAGAACAATACCATCACGTGATTGAGCAATCTCAATACCAAGAAAGTACATCAATGGTCCCATATCCTTAGTTTGAAAATGCTTAAATAGATGTTGCTTTAACTGAGTGGCCTCTTCTTGATCATTTCCGGTGATAACAATATCATCAACGTACACAAGAAAAAGGTATAAACACTTACCACTTGATGTGTGCTTATAAAAGACAGAATGGTCTAATGCGCTTCGGATCATGCCAAACTCCTGTATAACACTGCTAAATCGACCAAACCAAGCACGCGGAAATTGTTTCAATCCATAAAGTGAATGGCATAGTTTGCAAACAAAAGCAGAGTCCCTCTAGTAACAAATCCAGGTGGTTGCTCCATATAAATTTCCTCTTGAAGTTCGCCATATAGAAATGCATTCTTAATATCAAGCTGAGGCCAGGAATGCATAGCAGCCAAAGCAATAAAAAGACGGATCAAAGACATTTTGGCAACAGGTGAGAAGGTTTCAGTATAATCCTCACCAAAGACCTGTGTAAAGCCCTTAGCCACCAAACGGGCCTTGAGACGAGCAACTTGACCATCTACATCAACCTTAACTGCATAAACCCAACGACAAGCCACGGAAGACTTACCTAAAGGCAAAGGTATCAAGTCCCAAGTACCATTAGCATGCAAAGCAGTCATTTCATCTACCATTGCCTGTCGCCAACCTGGGTGAGAAAGAGCTTCACGAAGGGATTTAGGAAGGGAGATGGAAGATAAGTTTGACACAAAGGTATAGTATGTGGGAGACAAATGATGAAAACTAAGAAAATTGTAAATGGGATGAGGATTACGAGAAGAACGAGTACCTCGTCGTAACGGTGCAAGATCCGGTAGGATAGGAGCCACAGGAGAAGAAGACAATGGCAAGTCTTGAGAGCCAGGACACTCGATAGACGCTGGAGGAAGGGAGCACTTGCGAGCGAGGACGATGACTATAAACCTGAAGAGGTGGATGCGAAAGAAGAGGAGAAGTGAAAGGAATAGGTGACACGTGGCTGACAGACGGGATCAAAGATGATGGAGAGAAATAAGATGTGGACTCAAAAAAGGTAACATCAGCTGAAAAGTAATACCTACGAGTATCAGGAGAGAAACACTTATAACCCTTTTGAACCCTAGAATAGCCAAGGAAAAACACACTTCAGCGCACGTGAAGCTAACTTATCCCAACCCAAAGAGTGATCATACACAAATGCAGTACACCCAAAGACACGAAGGGGTAAATGATATAAAGGATCTTGAGGGAACAATATCTGGTGGGGAATTTTATTCTGGAGAACCGAGGACGGTATGCGGTTGATAAGATAGCAGACAGTAAGAACAACATCAGCCCAAAACCGGAAAAGAACATGATGATGCACAAGCAAAGTACGAGCAGTCTCAATTAGGTGGCGATTTTTGCGTTCAGCCAACCCATTTTGCCGAGGAGTATAGGCACAAGAGGACTGATGTAAAATACCATCAGATGACATAAACTGAGTCATAGGAGTAGAGAAGTATTCAGTAGCATTATCCGTCCGAAGTATTTTAAGGAAAACACCAAATTGATTTTGAATTTTAGCATAAAATGTTTCAAAGACAGAAAATAGTTCGGAACGAGCTTTCATCAAATAAAGCCAAGTACATCTTGAGAAATCATCAACAAAGGTAACAAAGTACTGAAACCCAAATACAGAAGTAGTTCGACACGGACCTCATATATCAGAGTGGACTAAAGCAAAAGGCATATCAACCCTATTATTAACCTGCCGGGGAAACAAAATGCGAGTTTGTTTTCCTAGCTGACACGACTCACAGGACAATGAAGATAAACTAGAAAGACTTGGAACAAGCCGACGCAACTTAGAGAGACTCGGATGACCCAGCCGTTGGTGTAGAAGTTAAGGAGAACTGGCAGTGGAACATGCAATTGGGAGTGAAGGTGGTGGAGGGTGGTCAAGGTGGTACAGTCCATGGAGCTCAACCTGCGCAACAACAGCCCGAGGTGGCCGGCCATGCAATTTAAAATATTTATCACGAGTATGGCCCCACCTGTTGCAATAAGTGCAGCGTGGACGAGAGGTCCCACGAAAGCTCCCATGAGAACTAGGATCACCTTGCATATGTGAAGGAGGTGAAGCTAGTAGAGCAGACTTGTCTCCAGAATCAATAATCGGATGTGCCACAGAGGAGACACGTAATAAGCGAGAATAAACATCATCAAGAGTCGGAACTGTTGAGCTGGAAAGGAGTTGATCACAAATCGGACTCAAATCTGGACTAAGACCAACTAGTGCACACACCATATAGAATGTATCACGATGAGCAAGCTCCTTCGCAGCCGTTTTCCCTTGAGGTAAAATTGAATTGAGTTCAGTTTTGATGGATGAAAGTTTACCGAGATACTATGGAATTGTCAATCCGGGTTGACGAAGATTGACCAAATTAGATACCACGCTGTAGAGGCACTAAATATCATTGGTATATAAAGTCTTCGCATGGCTCCAGAGATCATAACAGTTTGTAAAATTAGTAAAAATTGGATGAAGGCTTGGATCAATAGATTGCCAAAGCAAACTGCATAATAAAGCATCAATCTTAACCCATGCAACTTTCTCAGTGTTAGCAATCCAAGCGGACGAAATAACAAGGTGATTTGCCAAACCTTGACTCATACACCGCATTTGGACAGCTTTAGACCAAGAGCCATAGTTAGAACCCCCAACCAATCGTTCTGTAGCAATAGCCGGGGTTGGAGAAAGAACACCCATAAAAGAAGCAGACATGGTTGGGCAATATTTGAATTGAAGAGAAATCTAAGCCACAACTTAATAATAATCCAACCTAGGAGGAGAAATCAGAATAGCCTTGACAGACAGCAGACTGAAGGAAAGAAGAGAGGACAGCGCAGCGGGCGGTCGGCGGTCAGCGCGGCAGGGTAGGGTGGATTACGGGATCACGGTGACTCTGATACCATGAAGAATATTGCTGTATTTTTATTATTACGTCAAAAAAAAGAATAATTTTATAATATATAAAACCCTAATATATTAAAACTATACAAAATACCTAAACGGCCCTCGTACTATTATAAATACTATACATAATATATCTAACAATTAAATATAAAAAAAATAAATATTAGTATGTACTTGCATATCCTTTATGTTCATTTACAATACTAAAGAACACTTCTCATTTTCTCCATTCATAATATTTTTTTTCACCCACTAGTTGAAAGAGTTTTCTACTTCTAATTTTCGTTTCAAATTCTATTTTTACTAAATTTGGTTTTTATTTTTGAAATCAATCTAAATGATAATGGTCTAATGTAATGCTTTCCTATTATATTCATTCAGGGTAGCTGGCTCATAGTGCCTTTATGGAGACGAAGATGAAGCCACACAAGATTACTCAAAGTCAAGTTCCTTGATATAAATCCGCCATGCTAGCCAAACGTTTGCTCCATTTAGCAGTAAATCTTTCAAGCAAAGGAAAGTACAAAAGAATATACAACATATATTAACTTATATTCTAGAGTCTAGGCAATTCGATAATTCTAGTAAAATTATGATTATTTCCATATCTACATTATATTTTTAAATTATTGATTTAGTTCAAGAGGAAAGCATAGCTTATTTCTCACAGGAACCTTGACTTAGAATGCAGTTATTTTTCATATATAAGAATCGTGCATGATCATTTCACTTGAAATGGTAGGATTTGGCCATTGAATCATACTGAAAGCAGGAAAGAAGGTAAAAGGTAATCATAGCTAGGTCAGACTTCTTGATGATACAAAGGATGCTATATACAGCATTATGACTTACAGACCTTAAATTTCTTATATACAAAAGCTCCAGCCCAAAGAAATGAAGTTAATACCTGAAGCCAAAATATCCTTTTCAAGCTGACCTGAGTACATCTGTGATATAATCCAAAAACTACTCATTAACAAATAATGCATGAAGTTCTTTTCATGTATTAAATTTTTCACATTCTACTATGAAATAGATAATCACACTGATAGGTTGGAAGTGGCTAGACTCAGAATCCATGACTCAACATTTATGTTCCTTAACTTAAAAAATGGCAAACACACAAAAACGTTTCCTTAGGTTGTATGTGTACAGAAGGGTTTTGATTTCATGAACACACAATTAGGAATTCGAGATGACTAAGAAATTTACTGAATCTTCGAATTTCTCAAAATACTTCCAAAATTAACTAAAACATTGAATCACAATCTATTACAATTCACGCTTCCCTAACAAAATTCACGAAACAATTATTATGACTCAATATCCTAGGCAAAACCTTTCAATCCAACCAAAATTTTAGGTAAACAAATTGCAAACCTAAATAATTGTAATAAAAGACGTTCTTAACCGAGACGCTAAGAATAAAAAGTGCTCCAGTACATGACTTTTCCCTATCACATTCATTTTTAACAGGAAACAATTTTCAGCATGCAAAGCATTTTCTGTTAACGAGATGACCAAAAGATGTTAGAAATTAACAAAATCTTCTGCAGGGTATTTTAAGGAAATAATTATTTTTATTTATTTATTTAATATATAATACAAGTTACAACAGTTTAATCTTACAAATGAATCACCCAAGGCTTGAGCAGCTTGAAGACGTTCTTCATGCATGTCTTCTGTCATAGGAGGGGGGCCCTACAATAAGATTATGAGATAAGGTACAATTAATTCACCAAGGTGTTGTTCCCACATACATATTTTAGAAAGGACAAATATAGATATTCACCTGGATTACTGGAGCATACATTATCTTGCATGATTTTAAAAGCATCATAGATGTTGAAGCCAAGGACAGTTCTTCCCTATGACATTTAAAAAGGCCAAACAGATAAAATAAATGCAAGCACATTGTAGGCTTAACAAGATTAAAGACAGGTAATTACGGAAAATAAAGTGCACAAGCATCTAGCACTTTTTATCATGCATGACAGAGCTTTGCAAAAGGTACAAAGACACACATGATAGCATGGAAAAGGTTGCATGTTTTGTGGAGTAATTTTGACATATTTTTGTTCTTTTGGACATTTGATTGTGCATAGAGTATATCAATAGATTATTTCTCCAAGCAAGGTGAGGTGATAAAGGAAGCATAGAGTTATCTGCCTAGTTGTAATACCTGTTGTGTTTCCAGATTCTATGCCAAATTGTATCTCTCTTTCCATTAATAAAAAATGATACCACTCACCAAATAAACAAACAAACAAATAAATAAGGTATAGAATACAAGAGTAGTGAATGTATATACATGGAAACATAGTTGTGTGTAATTAACAGAAACAATGATAGGGTAATGGCTGGAGTTCTTAATACTTGTGTCTCCAATATAAAGAATTAGAAATAGAGTGAGAAAGTCATATATATGGACCAGAATGAAACGAAATATCCCTGATGTGAACATGTTGTGACGAAGTTCAAAGTAGACTAACATGTAAGCCAAGGCATTTGTCAGAAACATTATAGTTTCATGTTGTAACATAAGTAGCACATCTTAACGAACTTTTGCAGATATTTGACAGAGGGATCAGATAAAATTATTGGGCCCTACTTAGATTAGAGAGCTCTTTATCCCTAGAATCTTAGGGCGTGTTTTTTTTGGTGTTTTAAAGTTTTGGTTTTTATTATTCTTTAGGTAATATAGATGTTGGATATGATGTTCTGTATCAAATTGGGTGTGTTATTATTGGGAAAAGTGAGATGCACAGTAAAAAAATTATTTAGAAAAACTCAAAAAGAACATAACCTTACAATCTTTAGATCTAATAGATTCATTCTGTGCTAATGATGCAGAGTGCTTCAGCATTTGGTTTTAAAATGTACGTAGCTTTGATTTGCACTCCTACTAATAAAATCTCTTTACTTTCGGAATATATATAGTAAAATTTTAAACAAATATTTAAAAGATCCGTCTAATTCAATACACCTCGTCAGGCCATATACCTTGTAACTATGAACGTCAGATTTGAATTTAGTACGTTTGATCTTACTTCCAACATATTGTGACGAAGTAGGAACTGGACAGAGTGTCTAGCCAAAACAATTCGGCTGGACAAGCCTGAACTGGCTGAGCCTGATGGACACTACGTGATTGTCTACACCTGGTGCAAGAACAAGGATTAGGGTATTTTGGTTCAGTCATCATGTTTGATTAGACTTCTGTTTTCCTTTTCCGCTTATATATATATATATATAGAACAAAATATTAGTAAGTTAAAATAAAAAATCCCGAGGGGATACACAGGGAACAAGGATATGAACTAAAAGTGAACACAACAGTCTGACTCCACACTTAGCAAGCAAATCTGCTAGATTATTTCCACTTCTTGGGATGTTGTGGAAAACAATATCAGGATGCTCTGAGATGAGATTTCTTGAGTTTTTTATTAACTTCAGATTTCTGCTGCTATTAGGTTTTACTTATTGAGAGTTTTTAGATATTTAGATTAATATTTAATAAATTTAAATTTAAATTTTAGTCTATCGAGTATGTACTTGATATAATATTTTTCTCCTATACTTGATATAATAGAATAATCCGTATTTCTTCAGGTACATTCAACCTAAAATGTATCCGGAGGTCTCCAATTTTGATATTTTTTTTATGATTTCATGGCGTCAACGGAAGTCTTCCGATTTTGAAATTCGTCTACAATTAGTCGTCCGTCAAGTTTATTTCTCAATTTCGTGTCCGAATTCGGCCTTTGATCGTTTGTCATGGTTCACTACAAAGCGTTGTATTCAACTGCGTTGAAAGTCCCGTTGTTTTTCATGTTCCGGTGATAGATCCGTGTCTCTCGCCTTCGGTGAGAGTTCCGTATTTCTGACTTCGACGAGAGTCTCATTGTTTTCCGGACTCCGGTGAGAGTTCCGTGCTTTTCGGCTTCAGTGAGAATTCCGTGTTTCCGACTCCGGTGAGAGTCCTATTGTTTTTCGGACTCCGGTGAGAGTTCCGTATTTTTCGACTCCGGTGACAATTCCGTATTTCCGACTCCATAGAGAGTCTCATTTTCGACTCTGTTGAGAGTTCGGTTTTTACTCTAGTTAAATTGAAGACACTGTTTCTGATTCTGGCACGATGGAGGATTATGGCTTTTTCATCTTTGATCTCTCTTTATAAATTCAAATTGATTTCTGTTATACCACTTAGTTTAATGGGGGATGTTGACATTTTTAAATATTTAATTTTAGATTTAATAAACTTAGATTTAGATTTGAGTCTATTTGAGTCTATTATGTGCTTATATATTGGCCGTTAATTTTATTATGAAAAAATAGCTTCTACATTACCAACTTGAGTTTGAGGCAGGGTAGTGAAATATATTTTAGATAGATATTTTCGTTAATATTAATTAAATTTGTTAGTTATCATATAATCATATCTACTAGATTAGGTTATTATTATCTAGATATGTTACTAGATTTGGTTGTTATTATTTAGTTTTTTATTCTTTTGTATAAGTTCTATAAATAGATCTTAATTTCATTATCAATATATCTCATAAACTTCTCTTAGAATTTTTACATGGTATCAGAACATATTTTTTTCATAAAATAAAGTCTACTAATTCACGTTTTCTGCGTGTGCATCTTGTAATTACCCGGAGAGCTTTCTTTCAAATTTGAGATCCACTTCCACTATCATCGTATTTCTAATTTTGGAAACACTTGCCACCAAATATCATCATCATCAACAACAGTGCATATGAGTTACCAGTATCAGTCAACGTTTGATCAATTCCATCGGTGATAGCGAGCAGGATGAGGGGGACCAGCCCGTGGTCGAGGCTGCTACTGAGCCACGACCCCTGTTGGTCTATCGTCGGCAGAGTCGGGCTTGAGTCCACTTTCGTGGGCCAGTTGATTTAATTGTTATGTTTAATTAAGTGGGCTATAGTGTTTTGTTAATTTCTATTTTTGGTAGTTAGTTTAGCATTTATATAGTTAGGATTAGGGTTATTGTTTATCATCACATCATTGAGTAAATTAGGAGCCTGGTGGCTTGGCAGACGTCCGCTGCGTTTGATTGTTGTTGTTCATTATAATTGTTTCTAACAATTATTCCGACCTGCCGGATCCCGACCCACCGTAATGTCGACTACTCGTTCCGCCGCTGAGAGATTGGAGAAACTGGAATCTGATCAGGCTAATATGTTGCGTAGGATCACTGAAAATTACGAACAAATATCGGAATTTACATCAGGGTTGGTGGAGAATACCACCAAATTGCAAGAGATGTCGACCACCGTGATCGCGCTGTCCCGCGAGATTTTGGGCCCTGGTGGTGCGCCGGATCAGGTCGCTAACTCGCAGGAGGGGTCCGCATCACACGCCGCCCCGCCCCCAGCTTCTCCTGTGCGGCCGGCTGCCCGGGCAGAACCTGCCCTACCCGCTGTTGTGGTGCCGCACATTCCCCCTGCACCAGTACAGTTACCCACGTTTGACGACGTGGACCCAATCGCCTGGTTGGCCCATACCAATCAGCAGTTTGAGTTGCACGGGACGTTTGAGAAGTCTAAGATCTCGGCTGTTGTGGTGGCTATGGATGGTGCTGCGCTGCATTGGGTCACCTAGTTGCGCGCCCGGAAGCCCAACGTGACTTGGAACGAATTCTCGCAATCCCTAGTAGCGAGGTTCGACTCCCGATTCAAGGGAAGCTCATTCGAAAGGTTAGCGAGAGTCCGTCAGACAGGGACAGTTGAGGATTATGTGAATGTGTTCATACAGCTCGCCGGACAGGTTCCGGGGCTGTCGAATGCCCATTATCTCGGCTATTTTATGTCCAGGTTGAAAACTGCTATCAACAACTCTCTACGTCTGCTCCGACCAGCAGACTTGGAGACCGCGATGGAATTTTCATGAGATATCGAGGAAAATCTGAATTGGCCAGGGGGTGATAGGCAGTTCAGAGGTTCGAATAATTCCGGGCAGCGGCCCTTTAATTCCTCGCATCCGCTCAGCGCCGGACAGACCAGCACAGAACCCGGACCGTTTGGGGGTAATTCTACTAGTCATCTGTCTCGACCGTCGGAAAAATCGACAGCAGCCACCCCGACAGTCTCTGAACGATCGACTGCGCGTTCGCGATTTACCCGCGTAACATCGAACAAGATGGCAGACTTAAGAGCAAAGGGGCTGTGTTTCAAGTGCCGCAAGACATACATGCCGGGTCATGCAAGAGTTTGTACACTCAGGGAGTTACTGGTTTTATTTGTGGAGCCGGATGAGGAAGTAGATTTGCAGAATCATGAATATTATGAACCTACCGGTCAAAAGGAGCTTGCGGAGGAGATAGAAGAAAGCGCAGAGGAGGAGGGTGCCTTACCTGTCTTTTCCATGGCTAGATTTTTTAGTCTAGGCACTATGCGCATGCACGGGATACTCCACGGATGTACGATAACAATGTTAATTAATAGTGGTGCTAGTCATAATTTCATATCTTCGTCGCTGGTTCCATTATTGCAGCTTAAGCCAGATGAATCAGTCAAATTTGGGGTGCACTTAGGTGACAGACACCAGCAAAAGTCGGCGGGTTTATGTTGTGGGGTGTCAATGACTTTGGCGGGGTGCGAGCTAACTGCGGATTACTTTGTGTTCACATTGGGTGGTGTCGATGTTATACTAGGAGTGGCGTGGTTGGCGACTCTTGGAGATGTGAGTGTTAATTGGGAACGAATGTCTATGTCGTTCCTCCAAGGGGATCAACGAGTCGTTTTACGGGGTGACCCCACCCTTAGTTGTAGTTCCGTTGGGCTGCGCACTTTGGTTCGCACTAGCAATATGGAGCTTTGGGCAGTAGTAGTTGATG